TTTTCTTTTTTCGTTTTCCACTTTATTTTTGTAAACTTATTACTTTTAGCATTTGAATGACACAGAAACCTTAGGGTAACCTGAATGCTGAATAACAGGATTTAAACAAATAATAGTATATAAATAATTAAATAACTAAAAGTACTGTTTTGTTAACTTGTTTAGATTCGTTTTATCCTTTTTCTCTTTTTAGATATCTTCTATTTTGTTCATTTTATTCTATTTGACTTTATAAATAAAAAAGCTCTCTCACCTCTTAAATTCAAATGCCACAATATATTTGAATATTTGTTTAATAATATTATTTTTAATAGAGTTCCTGAAATTAAAATGAAGAAATATGATTAATGAGAATTCATATAGACCTAGAGTAACTGACACCAACTTGTTTAAGATTGAATCCTAATATTTGTTGACGGTAAATATATTTGCTTTAAAGATAATTATTTCATAGAGAATAAAGATGACTTGAAGAGTGAAATTGTATTTAAAAAATTCATACATTTCTTGCAAGCCTTTCTGCAAAAATATTATTAAGCTTCCTCTAAATTACTGATTGAATATTTTTGGAAGAATTACAACCGCTGTCACTTGACCTAACAGCCCAACCGAAAATGGCTCACGTTTGAAGTATGCACCTAGTTCTGCCCAGGTTGTACATAATCTAAAAGAAAATTTTCAGCCTTTAGCCCACTATTAAAGATACACTTTTAGGGTTTCTTTATTTTCCTTTTTCTTCATTCCCAGCACACTCTATATTCTCCACCCGCCTCTTTCTGCTTTCTCCTTTCTTTCTCTTCTCTCACTCACATAGATCTAAATATCTAGATTTCAAACTTGATTTAAAGCATTTTCTCTACTAAGTTGCTTAATATTTCTAAATATTTATAGATCTCAAATATTTGAATCTCGATTGATGGGTGTCCAAATTTAAAATTGAAATTTTTTGCATCCATATTAAAAACTCCATTGAAGGAGCTTTGAAGCTCTAAGTTCAACTCAGATTTAGAAATCTAACTCTAAACTGATTGGGTTAAGTTAAAAATTATTGTAAAAGCTTGCAATAATATGAATCTTGAGTGCTGGGTTAATTGCGTTTGATTAACGTTGGTTTGGGAACCATACTAGTTGAAGAAGGAAGTTGAAGATGAATCCAGTTTTGTATACACCGTTATACATCATTATACAATATTATAATAAGGGTATAATATTGTAATATTGGGGTGTGAAAATACTATTATACAACATTAATATTTCTTTTGAGGTAAGTTTCTCTTTCATTGTGGTAATTTTAGTTTTATTGCATGTTTTTTATTATTGTTTTGTCACGCTTTTGTTTTGGTTACTTTTTGTTTAGGTTTTTCTTTTTGCTTTTACATCGTATTCTCTATATTTTCTATTAATATTGATTTTGCTTTTCATGCCAGCGAAATACTGGTATACATTATTCAACATTTCATATACAAGTTTATACAAAGTTATACATCATTATACACGTACTGTATAGGTGCAGTTAAAACTGAAAATCAAAATGAGAATAATTATAGTTGTTGTCACTTGGCCTAACAGCCCAACCGAAAATGGCCCACGTTTGAAGTCCTTACCTAATTTGGGTTATGTTGTACATAATCTAAAAGAAAAATTTTCAGCCTTTAGCCTACTATTAAAGATACACTTTTAGGGTTTCTTTACTTTCTTTTTTCTTCATCCCCAGCACACTCTATATTCTCCACCCGCCGCTCTTCTTTCTCCTTTCTTTTTATTCTCTAACTCAAATAGATCTGAATATTTATAGATCTCAAACTTGATTTATAGCATTTTCTCTATTAAGTTGCTTAATCTTCCTAAATATTTCTAGATCTCAAATATTTGAATTTCGATTGATCGGTGTCCAAATTCAAAATTGAAGATTTTTTGCATTCATATTAAAAACTCCATTGAAGGAGCTTTGAAGCTCTGAATTCAACTCAGATTTGGAAAATCTAACTCTAAAGTGATTGTCTAAGTTAAAAATTATTGTAAAAGCTTGTAATAATATGAATCTTGAGTGCTGGGTTAATTGTGTTTGATTAACGTTGATTTGGGAACCATACTAGTTGAAGAAGGAAGTTGAAGATGAAATCCAGTTTTGCATACACCGTTATAAATCATTATACAATATTATATAACATTAAATAATAAGGGTACAATGTTGTATAATATTGTATATTGGGATGTGAAAATACTGTTATACAATACTGATCTTTCTTTTGAAGTAAGTTTCTCTTTCAATGTAGTAATTTTAGTTTTGTTGCATGTTTTTTATTGTTATTTTGCCGCAGTTCCCTTTTGCTTTTGTTTTGGTTATTTTTTGTTTAGATTTTTCTTTTTTCTTTTACTTCGTATTCTCTATATTTTCTATTAATATTGATTTTGCTTTTCTATACCAGCGAAATACCGGTATACATTGTTCAACATTTTATATGCAAGTTTATACAAAGTTATACATCATTATACACATACTGTACAAATGCAGTTAAAATTGTTAAAACTGAAAATAAAATGAGAAGAATTACAGTCGTTTTCACTTGGCGTAACAGCCCAATCGTAAATGGCCCACGTTTGAAGTCCTTACCTAGTTTGGCCCAGGTTGTACATAATCTGGTAGAAATGGCGTCGAGTAGACACTTTTTAATGTGTTGTTTAATTTTTATCCAGCATTTTTAATGATGAGCAAAAATAGCCACTGCTCTATTAAAATTAATACGAAAAGACGGATTTACCCTTTCTTCATGAGTGTTGTGTAAATATTAAGGACATGGTGTCCGTAACTTCGTAAGTGCTGTGTAAATATTAAGGACACTTTGTACTTAATGTTTACACAACACTCACGAAGTTAAGGACATCATGTCCTTAATATTTATACAACACTCATGAAGTTAAGGACACTATGTCCTTAATATTTACACTGCACACATGAAGTTAAGGACATTAAGGACAACATGTCCTTAAAATTTACACTGCACATATGAAGTTAGGACATGATGTCCTAAGTTTAACAACAGAAGGTGCAAATACATGACACTTTGTCCTAATATTTACACAACACTCATGAAGTTAAGGATACCATGTCCTTAACATTTACACTGCACATATGAAGTTAAGGACATGATGTCCTAAAATCTAAACCAGAAAGTGCTAATTCAGGACACTTTGTCCTTAATATTTACATAGCACTCATGAAGTTAAGGACATCATGCCTAGAACAGGGGTATTTTTGTCCGGGCGAGTAAAAGTATATTAAAGCACTAGCTAAAGAGTAAATACATTTTAAATAGTGACTTAAGAGTAAGTACATCTCTAATTAGTGGCTAACTGTACATTTCCCCCTACAATTTGAAAGAAGATTTTCAACCTACTATTAAAGACACACTTTTAGGGTTTCTTTATTTTCATTTTTTACATTCCCATCACACTCTATATTCTCCACCTGCCTCTCTTTGTTTTCTCCTTTCTTTTTCTTCTATCACTCACAGAATATTTATAGATCTCAAATTTGATTTAGAGTATTTTCTCTACTAAGTTGCTTAATCTTCACAAACATTTATAGATCTCAAATATTTGAATGTCTATTGATGGGTGTCCAAATTTAAAATTAAAATATTTTTGCATCCATATTAAAAACTCCATTGAAGGAGCTTTGAAGCTCTAAGCTCAACTCAGATTTGGAAAACTCTAAAGTGATTGGGTTAAGTTAAAAATTATTGTAAAAGCTTGTAATAATATGAATCTTGAGTGTTGGGGTAATTGTGTTTGATTAACGTTGGTTTTGGGAACCATACTAGTTGAAGAAGGAAGTCGAAGATGAAATCCAGTTTTGTATACACCGTTATACATCATTATATAACATTATACAAAATTATAATAAGGGTATAATGTTATATAATATTGTATATTGGGGTGTGAAAATACTATTATACAACATTTATCTTTCTTTTGAAGTAAGTTTCTCTTTCACTGTAGTAATCTTATTTTAGTTGCATGTTTTTCTATTGTTGTTTTGCCGCAGTTCCCTTTTGCTTTTGTTTTGGTTACTTTTTGTTTAGATTTTTCTTTTTGTTTTTACTTCGTATTCTCTATGTTTTCTGTTAACATTGCTTTTGCTTTTCTATGCCAACGAAATGCCGGTATACATTATTTAACATTTCATATACAAGTTTATACAAAATTATATATCATTACGTACTGTACAGATGCAGTTAAAATTGAAAATAAATTTGTTATAGTTTTTTACTTTTTTCGAACAATTTATGTGTAATGTTAATTTTCTCGTTAATTTTTCTGCTAAATCATGAACTTTCAAATTTTTCTTTCCTTGTTGATTTTTCTGCCAAATTAGAAACTTTGGAACAAATTCATCTATATAGAACTTGGAGAATAAGAGATTTTAGGTCTGTTTTTGTATTTTTATAATTAGAATGGGAATGTATAAACTTGGGTAAGAAAGAGAATGAAAAACCATGAAAAATTCGCGTCAGAATAAAAAAAGGTATGAAGATTGTTTTCGGCTCTGAGCCAATTAATATTGAGCTACATATTTGTAAACTTAAATCTGGATCATCCGATGGCAAGATTAACTTGTGAAGTGTATTATTATGTAATTCTCCCTAAATTTTCTTGGAATAGAGGGATAATACATACAAATAAATCTTTAGGTTGACCAAGTTCATAAGCCAAGTTTTAATTAATTTAACTTTTAAAAGCACACTAGTCACAAACTGATAGAGTAATTCTTCTATTTTGTACAATGAAATTTAACATCTTTATTCTAATGTTTAAATTTTTTCTTACACGTGTATTGCATTTATTGGTTTAATCACGATTAAGGGTAAAGCTTTCTCCTAAGTCATAAGTACCATATTTGGATACAATATCTCTTTACTTTCTTATTTCAGTCTTTTTTTTGGCATGTTCTTACTCCACTTTCAACAGAAAAAAATTGCTACTAGTAACTCATAGTCTTTTTTCCTCAATAACTGGAAGTGCAAAACTCTTGTTAAACACATCAAATTTATTCAGCAACGCTATCATTCATTTTCAGCATCATTTCTACAAAGAACCTTTCATTTTTCTTCACTTTCCATCTTTGCCTTCCAAAATAGGGCCTACCAGCTAATATCAAATTGTTGGTGCAAAGGCTTTTTCCACCTATACACCCTTACTAACTGCTTTCAAGGACCCCAACCCAAGCCCTCAAAATGTTCTTAAGTATGAGCTGCGAAAGCAAGTGTGATAGATTAAGCTTCAGGATAGCTGCAATGGGAGCATATTCTTTAAACGCCGTCTGCTATGGCTATGTGATTTCTGGCAAAGATGACTTCATATCCTGCTGTTATCCGTGTCTAGAACAGAATACGATCTTGGTAAATGTCCAATGCTTGTATAACCTTCTCTATCAGTAATTTCCTATGTAACCTATACCTGCCAAACGAGAGCATTATATTACATAAGTTCTGCATGCTTTGAAGCAAGATACAATGATTCTGCACACAATGACAATTTATTTGACATATTACGTACTTTATTGCTGCTTCAAGTGTTCTCCTGCAGTCGAGCATAGAATCTGTTCACAGTAAACCAAGAAAATGAATACAATGTTGGACAACTTTATGACATGAATAGTGACAACTGTTACAACGGCGACCAAGGAAATTAAGGCAACAGTGTTAAATCATAGCAAAAACCAAGAATTTTAGTGTTAATGTGAGTAGTCAATCTGTACTGGATTGCTGAAAACCAAATCTATCAAAGTAAATCCACATCGAATTCATCATCATTACCAAGATTGTTTGTGTCCACGAAATACTGACCATTAGATAGAAGTACACAATATAAGTTTACCTAGGATTTTCTGGTCTTCATCAGAAGTTGTGGGGAATTCTGCAAGCATCTGGTGGCATTCTTCCTGCAGTTCCTTTACTGCTTTCCTCTCTAAACTTGGAATTGGAGGGAGATCTCCATCTGACCAAGTAGGCAACGTTCTTGCTGCTGCTATGATTGCTCCATCGACAAAACTATCCCCATCATTCGATAGCCTACCTGCTAAAAGATTTAAACAAGGATTCTTGACATTAATTGCCAAGCTGAATCAGATAAGGAGCTAATATATCAGAAAGATTTGTTAAGACCCATACTGTTGTGGTAATATTCTCCAGGGAGGCCAGATATGTTAAAGACAGATAAGAAGGTGTCGAGATGAATTTTGGCATCTCCAGTGAAATGAATGACATCCCAAGGATTCTGCAATATCAAAGACATATTACAGTCAGTGTCAAAAGGAAAAAAAAAACAATCACATGTAAATTCATTTCCATGTCATGGAGATAGATGGCCTTGAAAACTAATTAAATCATAAGCTCCGTCAGGGTAATTCTTACATAATGCAATACTGATGACATCTTTTCTCTTTCTTCCTCTGATTCAGTACAAATATCTGAATTCTTTGTACTATTTGGAGCATCATCGAGCAATACTAATTAAGTGAAAACTCAAGCCTAGTCAAAATTCTATGATTAAACGCCCAAATTAATCCATTTATAACATGCACCTGAGAAGCTGAAGACAAGGACAGTAACTGGGGAAAATAATTTCCTCATTCTAACCTTTTCCCTTTCACTTTTTGGTTTATTTCATCTTCATTTTACTTTCAATTTCACTTGTCAGGGCTTAATGAGCCATCCATAATCTCCAATATTTATGGATAGTAGACACTAACTGTCCGTTTACAGCGGTTTCCTGTCATTCATTTACTGTTGCATCCTTGCTTCTAAAACAGATTATGGCAATGAATATCACTACACAAAGTCAGTAGTACAAGGGCGTTCGAGTTGGAATTTTTCATACTTTCAGCAGAAAAAGTACAACACAGCTACTTTTCTCAGGAAGAGCAAAGAAAGACTACATTACCACAGGCGATGAAAAACCATATCTCTGCATGAAAAAGTTATTCTTCTGTCCAGCCATGTAATCAACAGTCATCTGCAAGAATTCATAAAGGCCATTTTAGGTCATATTATCAAGTTATGCATCAGTAATAAAGACAAGCAGGGCCACACATAATTCAACCGGTGACATTGGTCACGGATACATAGCCAACTATTTAGAAATGACAGTCCTTCATAAGAATACACATTATCAAAATACTAAATAAGGTCAAAATAGGACAAACAAGAATCTCATTAATAATTTTCCTTTCAATTCACCATCCAAAGAAAGAAATAATTTTAAAACTTCCTTTCTCATTCGTTCCCGAATCATGAAAAATCTTAAAGACCAATAACAAGAAATAAAGTTAGACGGAGACAAAAGAGAATGATACGTTAAAAGATCATTCACAAAAGAAATTACAAGAAATACTAGCAACTAATGCATGTAGAAGAGAGAGGACAAAATTTTCTTAATGCTTCTATTCTCATTAAAAATAAAGCAGCACAATGAATTTAACCTTAAAATCTGATAAGCTGTCACATCAGAAGGAAACATAACATGTAACAAAGATCACAATATCCCTTTAGCACCATTGCTACTTATATCCCATGCCGGTTACCTATGCAAAAGTACCTAATTCTGTGATCAATTATACAAGTTTCCCATTTTTCCTGCATAATATTGCTTTAGCATCATTGCTACTTATATCTTGTGCCTGTCACCTATGCAAAACTACCTAATTCAGTGGTCAATTAAACAAGTTTCCCGTTTTTTGCTTTTCTTTTTCCTTGCGGTGAAAGGCGAGGCTTTGCATGCTGTGGAGTAGGAAAGGAAGTCAGTGGCATCAAATAGGCCATCCTTAAATATGCAAGCTTTTGATGTAAGAAACGCCTTTGGGCCCTAGAATAAGCAAGGCTCTGATGTAAGAAATGCATCCTTAAAAATAAGATAGCCCTATATATCATATATTATGACCTATGATAAGCAAGAAAATGGAGTACAAATATTTTCTGCATCATTTAATGTAAGAAATGCCTTTTGGTCAGAACATAAGCATGTGAGTCATGCATTTTCTCCAACTCCCCACATACCATCTTCTCCAAATGAATTATCCAAAATAAGTAGACCCATTGACAAAGCTAGTTACTTTTTTTTATAAGGCAGGGTAAACATTGGCAAGGCTAGTTATTTTCTCTATGCAATAAGCTGTGCCTACTAATACACACACATCACAATTCAAATGAAGCCCTCACTAGATCTAGACAGCTAAGAAGATTTACCTCATCTCCTTTTCTAATTCTTTGTCCTGCATTTATCATCACCTCCAGCATGCGGTCCTTGAAGCGCCAATGGAAAAAGCAGTTTGGCTGGAAAGAATGATTCATCATATCTGGAGAAGAGATGAGTAAAATATTAGAAGGATTTTCTCACATAACAAAGTTTGATCTAAAATGCTAAGATAATGCAAGCAGGTCTTCCTTGAAATCAAGAAGAATCCCTGTCTAATAAGTTTTTAGTTTATGAGTTCTCTTAAACACCAGCCACATTGGGATTGAGACACAGTAGTAGTTCCTGCTGCCGTTGTTCTTTTTGTTGTTGTAAGCTGTAATATTAGTTAACACCTTTCAGGTTTCCTGAAAATCTACAGATTTGACTGGCTTTAATAGCTAATACAGACATTTACTATATCTATTTCTTTTTGTGGAAGTTTCTAAAATATGTGAATTACAAAAGAAACCATAATTCGCACATACATCGCCAGTCAACATCAAACTTTAGAACTAGAAAGTCAAAGACTCAACGAGAATAACAGTTACTTAGCTTTCCATAGCAATTAATGGAAACAGAAGAAAAATAGCAATATCATTAACAAGTCTTTAACATCATATCAAGTCAAAGCATTGGCACTATCAATAGATCTTCAGAGTCACCAATTTTCCTCTCATAATCACCATTTTTCTTCCAGTTATCAGCGTCCTTCAGTAGCTACAATGCTCCTTCCTGTTTTCAAGAATTATCCACAAAAAATTCCATTTTTCCGCATTTCAGTTTTCTATTTTCTTGAAACTTGTTTGATCAAACAATAGAACCTCCCTTTTCCCAAAAAGTTAAAAGTCATAGCTCCTCTGTCTTCTAGTACTATTTTTTAAGGCTATATGATAAATGCCATGAAGAAATGGAAGAGAGAAATGCAGAGGGAAGTGTTCCTCGAACATTGTAACCAAGAATAAAAACGGAAGGGGAAAAATAAAAGAAAGCAAGCACAATCTCTTGTCCTTAAATCGAATTAGATAGAGCACTTGACCAGGACTAGATTTTCAATCAACAAGTCCAATACTTGAGAATGTTTCATCTTGCCTATTCTAATATGAGACACACGGATTCAGACAGACACAGACACCAAGGCTGAAACCAAGGGAGGATGGGGAGGAATCTGAGTTTTTGGGTAGAGGAAATTCAAAAGCTGATATAATATTATATTTTTGGGGGACATGTTTTTTTAATAGAAGAAGAGTAAATGGAAACGTTGAAAAACAGATTTGCCTCTTCCGTAAAGTACTCACTCGTCCCATAATGACCTGGTAAGGTTTACACTGTTGACTACTTGGTTAACTTGCTGTCTAATATCAGAAATCGAATAATTCAAATTTTGAGAATAAACATTATATATAAGACCTATGTTGCTCGGACTATGGTGCGGGTATCCAATCCGGGTGCGGATCTAGAGGTCGAATCCTTAATAATGTAAATATTAAGATGCGGGGGTACGGATCCGAGTACGTATACAGGTGTGGGGATTCAGCTAAAAATAATTCAAAATTCAAAAAGAAGATCTATAAAAATATCCTAAATTATGAGAAGGCATTCTGCGGAAAACTTAATTGTAGGTTGTGGAGTGTAGACAATTTCAATCTTTCATTTTGAGAATTTCTCCAGTTGTAGGCACTAGCACTAGCAGGCAGCAACTAAAATTCAATCTTTTATTTTTCATTTTTTCCTCATATTTGTCCACGGATTGTGGTCAAAGAACCCGATCTCAATTGACCACACCCAGTACGAATCCCACACCCTTACCAGTACCAGTGTCGTGTCGACACGGGTGCGGCGGTTAAAATGAAGAGTCCGCACAACATAGTATTAGACTACATAAGACCCACTATGAACCATGTCTTTCTTACAAAATGTGATCAAAGGAATATTAAATATCATTCGTGTGGAAGAAGAATGCTGTTTTCCCTGTACTAGTAAGTAGTTTTATGGCACATAGGGAGAAGCTCACAAGGAGGACTGCTATTCCAAAATTTTGGACGAAATCATTCACGTAGTGCATATTGTCATTTGCATGGTTTCAGTAAGCTAAAAACAGAACATATTTCTCACTGCTTAACTTGTTATTGCAGTCGCAGATCTGCTCTTTTTGACCCACTTCATGTAAAGATAAAAGTACACATGTGTAACACCCCGTACATTCGTGGATATATTAAATGGGTATTAATCTGATATTTTAGACATATGAAGTCCTAGCGGGATGAGTATGGGTGAAAATAGTTATTTTAGAATCAAGACGAAGAGTGAGGTGTACAAGATTCGATAAAATTTACTAAGTTTACAAAAGGTCAGCCTTGCAGCAGGATTTAGTGAAAATGTGTAAGGTACTTGGGAAAACTCAAAACACGAAAGTTGTAGGCCTTTGAAATAGCCGTCCAACGATATATTGTGGAGCCCAAACGGATCTATGTGCAAAAAGTTATGTGCGTTTTACAGAACAATGCGCAATATGCACGCCCAGTGCGCGCCCCGTGCGCGGCCGCACACTTGTGGCAGTGTTACTGCCATTTTGCGCGGTCAGGCCTTCAGGTGCGCGGGGGGCGCACTTTGGGGGGTCATTTTAAAGCCTTACTTCGTCCCCACACCCCGAAAACACAAAAACTTGCTCTAGAAAGGGGAGCTCTCAAAAACCTAACTCCTTAAGGGTCCCTCCACCATCCAGGGTAAGTTCTAATGGTGATTCTAAGTTAATTTCAATTTCTCAACATCTTGTTAACATGGGTAAACCCTCCATATCATTAGATATTCGATTGGGACATCATTGTTGAGAGAAGGAACCCTAGAACTCGTACTCAAGGGGATTGAACTTCAAAAAGGTAATGCATTCACCCTCTAATTGATTCTAGCACTGGATTAATGATTATAGACTCTATTCATGAGATATGAGTTGATGGGTTTGATAGAAAAGCATGAACGGTTATAGGTTTGGGTTGTTGATTGTTGATTATTGGTTAAGGTTATTGTTTACCTTATGGGTGATAAAGAATGGTATTGATTATAGCAATTTGAGGTTTCAAAATTTATCTAGGAGCAAGAGAATGAGTTTTTGGGCGAAGAAACACCATTAATGAGGGCTATGAAGCTTTATACTCACCAAGTGTTTGATAAAATGCCTAAGGGACCAAAAAATATGTTTCTTTTACCACGTTACTAATTGCCTCAAAAAATGTGGTTTAGCCTAGTTCCTTGAATAGTTGTAGAACTTCTATTCCGGTGTTTTGAAAAGCGTTAAGCGCAAAAAAGCGACGAGGCCTCGCTTCACAGAAGCGAGAAGCGCGCTTTTTTGCTGTGAAGCGCAATTTAACACATAAATTAAAAAAAAAAAATATAGGCATAGATAAATGGCTAAGAACTCATTAAAAATAACATATTAAGCAAATGTTTCAATTCTTGAATCAAGAAGCAAAAAAGAAAAAAAATAACAATTAGGGCAGAAAACAGAGCACTTCACTGATAAATTACAGAAAACAGAGCATAAAGCAGCATAAAACAGAGCACTTTCAATAACAGAAGAAGAAGAAGTCGTTTATGGCAAAAAATGAGCGCATAAAAGTGAAAAAATTGGAAAGAATAACAGAAGAAGAAGACCAAAAGAAGAAGAAGAACAGAAGAACAGAAGAAGAAGATCATCATCAGAAGAAGAAGAAGTTGAAGAAACTTACCGAGATCTGGAGAAGAAGTCGTTGGAGCAGCAGTGGTCGTCGATGGAGTTCGCGGGAGAAGAAGTCCTTGCGTATGTTTTGTTAACAGAGGGTTTATTTGCCAAAATTTTTTAAAAAAGCCCTAGCTGATGCCTTCTGCTCGCTTAAGCGAGCTTTTTCTCGCTTTTTCTACTGGCTCGCTTCTCGCTTAAGCGAGAAAAGTGCACGCTTTTTTAGTGTGAGTCGCCTTTTTAGCAGAAAAGCGCTAACCCTGCGCCTCGCCTCGCTTCATCGCTTAAAGCGAGCGCTTTTAATAACACTAATCTATTCTCTAGCTTCATAACTCGCTCATGACTTTCATTCTGAACATTGTGAGCTCAGTGCGTTATTCAATATAGACTTGGGTTTGATGTCCTCGAGTCTTAGTATAGATTACTCAATATGCCATAAACAGTTGAAGTTTCAGTGTTCATAGTCAGTTCAAGAATACATATCTTAGTCTAGTCCTATTAAGTATTCCAGTATTATGTAACTCAGTGTGATCCAGTATTCCAGTATCATGTAACTTAGTGTGATTCAGTATTTCACTATTATGTATTGCAGTATGATTCTCAGTTCCTGATTTTAAATCCCTGAATGTTGAACACCTGTATTTGGGCCTGAGGCCGCAGTTTATGCTTTATGCATCTTTGGGCCTGAGGCCGCAGTTATGTATATGTATACTTGGGCCCAAGGCCGCAGTTGTGCACATATATATATTGGGCCTGAGGCCGCACTTTAATGTTCAGATAAACATGTTGTTCATCATTCAGAAGAGGGAGTATTCATATCCTTACTTCCTTTGTTCAGTTCAGTTATCAGTTATCAGTTATCATTTCAGTTATCAGTTATCATTTTAGTTATTAGTTAGCAGTTATCGTTTTAGTTAATGTTTCAACAGTTATCATTTCAGTATCAATTATCAATTCTCAGTTATCAGCTTAGTTTCAGTTTCAGCATTTATAATTCTTTCTTTCAGTTGCTTTACACAACAGTGCAATTCAAATGTACTGACGTCCCTTTTGCCCGGGGCCTGCATCTCACGATGCAGGTAATGATTTACAGGTTGACGATTCAGAGCGCTAGGATTCTCGTACCAGCTATTTGGTGATCCCCAGTTCTTTCGGGGCATTATCATTACCTTACAGTCTTCAGTATTTTCAGACAATCAGTGTTTTCAGTACTTCATTAGAGGCTTCATAGACTAGAGTAACAGTTAGATAGAGTCACATGCATTTAAGGTTAAGCAATGTTGCTACATACATGTTTCAGGCCTATATTAGTGTTTCCGCATTTGATTTATATCATTTAGACTTTCAGTATATCAGCATGTGTTAGTTTATCTTCCGCATTCAGTATGTTATGATATCACATGTTGATTCAGCCAGCCATTTGGTTCGCTCGGTCACATGTAGTCAGGCACCGAGTGCCGTGTTACGTCCAAGCCCAGGTTCGGGGCGTGACAACATGATCATCACTCCAAGACCAATAGAAAAAATAAAAATAAATGACGCCATTCAAACTAACTAACAAATATCTAAACCAAGTTCATTCTGTCAAAATAGGATGTTGCATTGTGTTAACAACCAACTTAAAGCCAACACTAAAGTATGGAGAAGTACAGAAATACAACAGAAGAAGCTCACCAGCATAAGGTACCAACAAATTTGCATCTTGAACCAGTGCACCAATTCTCATTTGCAAGTTGATGCATCGAGATTGTGCTATACTCATTGCCCAAATAAATCTCTCGGGATCCCGAGCAAGACGCTTTATTTTGAGGGGTACTGCAGAATGCTAAACAAATAAAGAAAGTCAATAGACATTGTTAATGAACAGGAATTTGGAGGAAAGAGATTGAACAAGATTGTATATACCCAATTTTTCTCCCAAAACTCAAGTGCCCGATGTTGCTGTTCTCTCATGGTTGAAGCAAGCTTCTCGTCTTGCAACTCCAAAAGGTCCTCCTACATCACAAAAACCATTAAGAAGCAAGAGCGAGTGTGACACAAACAACAAGTGTTCATTTATAACTCTGGAATTGACATTCTAGAAATTAGTCTACTAAGTACATGCCCAGCTGACTAATAGAAAATGCAAATCACAGAAGTGAAGAAGCTTCAACCACATTTTGCTTTTCAGCTAAACAACCAAAATGGATTTCCGAATTAGACTTTTGTTGCAGAAGAGAGCTTCAACAGTCATGCAACAGAACAAGCCTCAGTAGAAGAAACTTCTCTTACAAATTACAACACCTTAATGTTCTAAGGTCCACATAACAGTGCGAATATCACAAAAGCTTTTTTCTTTTCACATGTTTTGAGTTACTCCAACTTGAACTTCAGCAGAATACCATAACAAAATGAAGACTAATTTGTGAATGCATAGCATTTCTATAGAATCTTCTCCAAAATATTACATTAAATAATTATAAGCATCAAAATTTGGATGAAACTCATATCCAGACCTCAGTAGCTAGAAGGAAGCTAGTGCATTCATCATCACTAGGTAAGAAGTCTCCATAAAGCTGCCAAAAATTGTCCTTGCAATCAAAAGCATATAAAAGAAGGCATGCCAACCTCAGATCAGAATCTGTCTGCCATAAAAAGGGAAACAATATTAAAAATTAACAAGAAATCTTGGAATGCCAGAAACAAAATGACAAAATAAAAAATAAGCAACTAAAAATGTGGACAAGTATTATCATATGTCTATCATTAGAAAAGATTTAAAAAGAAAAAATGTGTCCTTTTACCTCAGGATTAGTTGAATTGATAATGTCGAATATTGGATGTCCCACAGGTATGATATCTGGAAAAAACATCCAAGGAAGCTTTTTGCTTATGGTTAACATCAGTTCTAGAGGAATTTCCATTATTACCTGCATTACAAACAAACCTCCTCAATCATTGACCTGTAAAGATTTTAGTGATAACGAGAAGATGTGAAGATAATCAATGACAAAAGAGGAATCAAAAAGTCAAGCTAATGCCAAAAATTAGACACAGTCTAAAACTAAAGGCGAAGATAGAATACACTACAGCAGGAGAAGAATTAGAAGTGCCAAGACACTGGCCCCATATAACTTATCTTTGTTAAAAAGCAAATGAGTGAACTAAACTAAGGATACTCATCCCAGAAAGAAGGGAGGGAGAGTAGATTAAAGGGTATTATAAGTTTTGCTTGTCCTTTTTTCCACTCAGTCCAATTTTCGGTGGTAGATGAAGTTCATCTTTAGGTACAACTAATCATTGATGGAGCACCGAATTTGACACTGCTTCCAATGGTAAAGCTATATATTCCTTCAGGAGAATGAAAACTTTCCACATATAAACATAGTGTAAGGTAGTGCTCACCCTAGCTCGACGGAGAGGCTCCACGTCTCTGGAAGCAAACACTCCATACCCATCCGGTCCCTCCCTGAATTCAATTCCGTAGGCTCGAAAACTTCTAACATATCCTATTTTATAGAAATCAGGATCTGCCAGTTCCAGCTGTTCATGAAGAAATATTATATCACCATAATCAACAGTATGAACAAAATAAAATAAGGATAATTTGAAATAACCAAATAGAACATATAGGAAAAACATATATTCAACGGCTTCTCAAAAGAAAATCAAAGGACAAAGACAAAGAAAAGAGAGGGAAGTTAACCATTACAGTAACTATGTAATAACGGAGATGAAATATCTATACATGAAATGTGAGAGTGAACATCTAACTGAAAATGTTAAGGCATATAGGAAAAAGTATGCAGTGCCGAAACTCTTACAGCAGAAAAGAGCACTTGAACAATGAGCTTACTATTGTTATATAATAATATATAATTATCATTAATAAAAGATTTCAATGTTTTTTCTTTTTCCTTTTTTAAATTTAGTTGAGGTTGTCCGGTTTCTTCTCTCTCGTTATTTAGTACATTTACCGCCTCTTCAATTTTGGTCTTTCCTCCTCTATATACATTCATTCTTTTTGCTGTTTCTGAAGATTTCACTTTCCAATTTCAACTCAGTTTTCTTGAATTAGTTATTTCTCTTTATAGAGCAAAAAGTAAGTCATTTTGTCTCATTAGTATATAAATTTCATAAAAACAAATTTAAGGTCTCTTATTATTATCTGTTTTTAGGCCCCCAATTCTATTGATGATTAACTAACAGGAACTTCAAGAACATGAAAAAGAAGAAAACTTTAGGCAAGTAAAAGGTACCTGAGAAGCAGGAGTATCTTGGGGTTGAGAAGGGGGTGTAAAAAGAGGAAATGCAGAAGGAGTTGGAGAAGAATCATAACCCTCTAGAGTGGAAACAGTAGCAGCACCATTAGCACTTGCACTAACTCTAAAGGGTCTGCTTCTTCCCTTGTTACTACTACATACAATAATGGGTTGCTTTTGCAATGGTGCAGCACATCCATGTCTCCACAACTGGTTCAATCAAAAATATAATCAACAACCAGAAACTAAGAATAACATTTTTGGGTGTTTTGGGTTTGTTACCTGATGCTGAAACTCTGGCTGGTGGAACAAGTTAGTTGGTTGTTGAATTAGAATGGTTGAAGAAACCATTTTTACAGCGCTGTGTTGGGAATGAGCTGAAAATTTTAGTGGAATTTCAGTAAAGGGAATAGTTTCATAGATGTATTTTGGGTTCGTGGAACGTTATCCACTATACTGTCAGCATAACAAGCTGATAGAGAAAAGAACCCACAAGGGGTTTTTCTGGGGTTCTAATTTTTTGACTTTTTATTTTCTTTTTTTAAGAATTCTTTTTTTAAGAATTCAACAACAACCAGTATACTGGGTAGTTGTTGTTTTTAAGAATTCAATACTAGTGTAATTTTTATATATTCCTTATTTATTATAGATGGTAAAAGTCACCTTTTCCATCTCAAACGAGGGGATAAAGAATAATTGACCAGGTAAGTTGTAAAACTGTGCTCAATTTTGATTTCATTATATGAAGTTTGAGATTCCACAAATTCATGATGCTAGTCACATGCTCTTGTAAACAAAACGAAATGATGCCGAATCAAGAACACCTCGGTTCATACATAAAATGGTGAATGTATAAATCCATCATGTTCATCGAAATTGCCACATTATTTTCATGAAAGTTTTACCACAACATTTCTCTAAGAACTGGTGTGAATTGATTCAATTAAGGAAACATGATCAAGACCTATAATTTACTATTCTAAAATTTAAAAGCAGAATATTTACTAAAGAAATATACGAAAATTTATAACACCCAGCGTAAACAACTCACTTAGACATGAAATTTCTATTGCAATTTGCCCTCAAATTACTATCAAAAAATTTAGTAAAGGATGACAGGAAAGTTCACATATTAGGTATTTACTTATTTCTGATAATTATTTATCAGACTTGGAGACTCTGCTTATGTAATAGTGTAAAGCATAGTTCGCCCACCTAATATTATGATAAATCATCTGAATACTCAAGAGATCTGAATGAATCAAAGGATTGATAAATATCATTCCAACTAATTTAGGACCAAGACAGCCTAAAATTATGATAAATCATCTGAATACTCAGAGATCTGAATGAATCAAATGATTGATACATATCATTCCAACTAATTTAGGACCAAGACTTAGTCGATTAATACACATATCAATGCTGGACAGGGTTCATCCATTAGCTGTGATGAGGCAAACGCAATGAACTTCCGGACCATCTTCCACTACTGAATAAACAATCTGGAATTTATTTGCAGTGGCCTGACTGCTTACCTTTACCATCTCCACCACCATATTTTCATGGTATGATATACAAAAGCTTAACCAAATGAGATGACATATTTCTAGTCTCCAAAATAAATGTACAATTCAAGATTGTAAGATGAAGGGAGCAATCTGGCTCTACAAGATCATTACCCAATAGGAATTTCACCGGTCACTTGTTACATGATTTCCTATATCCCACCAACAGTTCCAAGGTACTGGAACGAAAAGTTAACAGCACCAAAATGAAAATCCACAAATAGCCGGTTGTCTTTTACTTCAAGATAAAGATGAAGCAGAGGAACTATTTAGAATGAACCAAGATGCTAGAGAGGATCAATACTGCAAGAAAAAAAACACAGTGCATCAGATCTGAAACCAGGGAGCCCTATCAAATATCAGGAAAAATATTTGGATGTTTCTTACAACAAAAACATCTTCAAACTTTCAACTAATCTAACCAAAGAATATGACAACAAATAAAGCCCAACAGCATCACTATGCATAGGATTCAATTTTTAGTTCATATTACAACCAATTAGATCTCATCTCCAGCTATACAGACAATAGAAGATCTTCAATGTAAAAGCGACTGAGTTAAGATGTTCATGTCCCCAAGCAGGGCTGATTTAATTATGCCTAGATGCCATTATCGGCAGCACTACTTGAACCCCAGACAAAGACAAAACAAGATATCACAAATTTGTGACACGCTGTATTAAAGATGTGATCGGTGTCATCCCCTTAGGTTTTAACACATGGAGCACCAGACAGTATACAAAATCTCTTCTTGAAATGCTTGATGTTCTCTTATTACTGAACTAGAGTAATACACCTGGAATAGTTTCACCACTACAACCCTACTGGATTTATTAATTAATATAGCTTTTCTTTTATCTTTTCATGTATCTTGTTATTGGATATTGCAAATAAGTCCAATAGGTGAAGAAGAATCCCAAATACGCATTATGCAATATCGAGTTGCCTAAGAAAAGAAAATGAGATCTGTCTGTTTACCTACTACTCCACGGAGGGCCAAAACATAAAATGAAATACTAGGGGTGGATTACTCACAAGAAGCGAGTTAGCAAGGTGTATGAAGTATTCTGCATCCGAAAATTGAGCTGCCAGGAAAAAAAAGAGACAGCATACCAATGGTAACTCCTGTCCCTTCTTAAAAAATCAGTTACCAGCTTTTCTTTATGAAACTTTTCCAGAGAGCTTGATCATGGTAACCATTCTGTTAAGTAATGCAAAATGCTGATAATGTAGCATAGGAAGTTATTTGTCAAAGCTCTTCCTTTTTTCTTGGAACACCGTCATGGTGCATTCTTGATATATAGAGTAAAGGGACAAGAAATAGTAGAGTTATTAACACTGAGAAGCTTAAACAACACAATATGCAACCTTAAACCCACTCTCCATATTAAATTCGAAGCCTGCTCTCCCTGTTCTATCTTTTCTTTTTTACTTTTTTGGATGACAGTGGAGTTACGTCAAGCACAACTTAACTATTGACAAGGTACTTGCATCCTTCCAGTACTATAAGTGCCTCTTAACTCTACCCCCAAGGTTTAGGCAGGTGGAAGAAATCACTTAATATTTTGCCTCTATTGAGATTTGAACCTCGGTCTCCCACATGGTCTTCACTCCAACTTCATCTACTACTAGGTCACACCCTCCAAAGAAAAATCTTTCTGAATCTTTGCAAGGAAGAGAAGAAAAATAAAAGGAATTAGAGGTCCTATGACAAGAAAGGCACTATTATTCCAGAATTAAACGCGACCCATAAATCAAGTAGCTTTAGAAAAACAAGTAGTTCTCCTGGTCATAATTTTTGTCAAATCTACCACACGCAAAAGGATATTGAAGCAAGCAACAAATACAAGTTCATCACCCCCATTTAGAAGTTCTTAAAACTACAATAGAGACCAAAGGTTTAACATAAACTAAGTGATATCCATTTAAGTCAAAGCACCAAGATCAAGTCACTAATAAAAAACCTACCATATCTATGCATTCTTTTTCTTTATAAAATCCTTATCAGTCCAAGTTAAAATGTTCGAAACCAGCTTTAAAGCACATCAAAGAGCTGCTGGTGTCAACTCCAACAGAGAGAGGTCCCGCGTGGCTAGATGACAAAAAAAACCGCTGGTCTCCATTAACAAGTGTGAAATGAAGAAGGTATTACATCAGGAACTGAAGCCCTGAATTAGAAATGTGGTTCTGTCCAAAGGTTGAATTACGTTGAATGAAGCTTGTCTTCTAAAAAGTTTTTACACAATTAATTTACCTAAAAACCAGAGAATGCCCAATCCATCTTTTGCCCAATGTGCAACTCTTTAAGAATGCAAAGATGCACGGAAACTAAGAAAAGGCTATATGAAGAAGGCAAGTCCCATTAAGTTCCAACCTTCGTGTACAACGAGCAAGGAGTCGTAATAAGCATACTCCTCTACCTGTTTTCCTGCAAATATTTTCAATCTAACTATGTGTATTTCGGTGTTTGCCTACATCTTTATGTGTTGCCCATTATCCACCTTTATCCACAATTTTCCAACCACGCTTCATCATCTTGACACTTATGATTAAAAAAGTTATTACAACTTAAACATTTAGAAACAGTATGAAGACTTTTGCAGCATATTTCTTCTATCTTGCGCTGCTGCTTAAAACATTCAGCATCACTTACACCCCAGCCACCAACCACCCATGGTCGTGAGAGAGACAGGATCTTGCGAGACAAACTTATTTTCAACCTCACATGCAACTTATAACTGCATCTAATTAACAATAGAAATAAAAACTAGAAGAGTGGTGCAGGGAGGGGATACTTAAGGCATGTAACATATTCCAAGCTTGATGTAAGTCAAACAAATATGTATGTTCCGAAAGAAGAAGATAAGCATTTAAGCTTGTTAGATGCAGAACTGCATTTTTACAAAGCTGATCGCTTTGACACTTCATTTTCCAGGACGAGATATTTTGTGGTCTACCTTTGTCTGCTATTGCTAGTACAGAACATTGCATCTTAAGAAGCATTTTTGGAAATTTACACTTCTAATAAAAGAGAAAGTAAAATTGAGCAAAATAGATGAACACATCAGTATGACAACCATCCCACGGAGAAAATAACAAAGATATGTATAGTATTATGCAAGAATAAACAAAAATGATTATATGACTATTATTAGAGCCACTGAGAATGGATTGAAGCTATAAACACCACTTGATTAAACTACAAGTTGATATTTCCGCAATATAACGAAGTAAATCTGCACAAACTTAGCTTAATTCAAGGATGCATGGCCTAAGTACACAATTTGAGAACCAACTTGAGTGAAGCTCATAATTCAGAAGTGCAATTACAACCATTTTCATTTTAGTCTTCTCTTAATGAAAAAAAACAGCACAAGCAAAACATATGGTATAAAACCAAATAGCATTAGCCACCAATAGAGTCATCATTTTGCCGAATTAGTTACCTTATTCTATCTATTCAATCCAATTTGAGATCATACTATCCAAAAAAGCAACCACTTCCTCATTTCCCTTATCCCCATTCTCAGCACACTTCAAAGCTTCATTCAGTTCTTGTGCCTCCTTAATCCTAGCCTCCCTCAACAAACATCTATACACACTCATTCTCACCTCATCCCCAACCTTCAAATTCCCAACTACCATCATCCTCAAAATCTTCAACCCATCCACAACCATACCATTCTTGCAAAACCCATTTACAAAAAGAGCACAGAATCCATAATCCACAACACAAGGGAAATCAGGCCTTGACACCCAATGGAAAATCTTTAAAGCTTTCTTGGCCTGTCTGTCTCTAAAATACAAAGAAACAAACTTTTTACAAATGGGTATTAAAAAAGATTGAGTCTTTGGGGTATACTTGAGGCGGTTGAGGAAGTACATGGGTTGTATAAGGTCAGGTTCAAGAGAGAGCCTGTGAATGAAAATGGAAAGGGAGA